CACCATATAGCTTCACACGCTTGCTTCTTTTTTCTTTACTAATATCGTGTACGTGCGTTGCACGTAGGCACACATGTTGATCAATTTTTTGGAATTTTTTTGGTTCTATTAGGTTAGAAAGTGAATAGTTTTTAAGATATTATAGTAATTAATAAATAATTAATATTTATTCAATGAAATGAGACTTAATGCATAAAGATTAAATGAGTATATTTGTAGGAGGTTATGAATAAGTTATTTTTATCGAAAACAATAACTCTCTGCATAAAAAATTAGCTTACACATGTTTCTATTATAAAATATAAACTACTTGTAAAGCAAGAAGCTTAAATACATCTTAGCTTAACAGTGCTAGATAAGGGCGGGATATTTTGGTGCATTTTAGCAGGCGATTTCCCCCTTGCTAATGTGCTCCTCCGCCTTGATTTGAATGGCGAGATCGAGGAAGAAGAAGAATTCTAGTAACCTAAGCAAGGAGCTGCGAGATTCTCTCTTCACTTATCCTTCATCGTCTGGAGTCTCTGCAAGCTCTGGTATTGGTAGTTCTGATTTTGAATCGTATGTAACAATGAATCCTCTTTCTCAAGAAATGGAGAGCACAGGTCCTAAGGGAGCCAAGAAGAAGTTGTTGATGTCTGAGGTTCTTGCAAGGACGAATTCGCTATCGGATCCTCCTCAGATTGTTGCTGATCTTCGAATTTCTCATGAGCTAAGTAAATCCTCTCACTCCTGGGCTGATGATGATGATGAGGATGAGGTATTTGCTGAAACTGATCTTGTTGAAATTTCTTGTGATGAGTCTAGATCTCCTTCTTTTGATCAGAATAAATCTGATTATGTTGATGGCAATTTGAATGGTACTTCTGCTGGAATTACTCAAGAACAGAATATGAGTCTGGAAAAAAATGATGAAGAGATTGAAATTCCTAAAAATGTAGAGCAAGAGGTTAAGAAATCTTTTGTCAGTTTATTTTCTGATAATAGGCAAGCTGGTAGAGGGTTATCTCTGAATCATATTCAGTCTTCTCAAGGGGATGTTGTCTCATTTAATGAGGATGAATGGAGACAAGGAGAAATTTTCTGGAAATATGCTTTAATTGGGCATGTAATTGGGATGAATGTCAAGTTCAAATCTATGGAGTCCTATGTCACAAAACTTTGGGGTAAAATCTCTATTCCTAAAGTTTTATTAATTAAGCAAGGAATATTTCTGTTTGATTTCCAAAATGAGAACAGTATGAGAGGTATACTGGAAGGGGGACCTTGGTTCTTTGGATCACGACCACTTGTGCTTAAGCCATGGTCAATTGACATGGACATTGATAAATTACAGGATCAAAAATATCCCATATGGGTACAATTTCCAAATTTAAGATTGAACCTATGGAGTTCCATTGGCCTCAGTAAGATTGCTAGTAAGATTGGGTGTCCTATTGCTACTGATAAGCTCACTGCATCTAGGCAAAGATTGAGTTATGCAAGGGTGCTGTTGGAGGTTGATCTCCCTTTTAAAGATCCTCTCCCTGATCAAATTGAAATTCAAGGCCCTGATGGGAAATGTTATTATCAAAAGGTGGATTATGAGTTCAAACCAAGATGGTGCTCCTCTTGTAAAATTGTAGGACATGATACTCTGCACTGTAGAAGAACTAAAAAAGTCTGGAAGCCAAAGTTTGTCCCTAATGTTCCTCCTCCTGTTGAAGGTAGGAATTCTGAAGCTAAGGAGATAACTTCTGAAAAGATTGATGTACATAATCCTCAGGTAGAAATTGTCAATGATTCTATCAATTGTCTAAATGGCACTGAGCCAGTACAACATGCACAGAGGGGGAAACGTGCACAGACCACTCTGCAGTCTGGAAAAATATACACTCCTGGAGTTTTACATGTTGATAGAGGGAGTCTCTCTCTTCTGGAAAAACATGCTCTACTTGAAGAACATGCACAATTTAAGATTTCTCAATCTAAGCAGGGAACCTACCCTTGCTCTCCTTCAGTCAACTCAAATGGCTTTACACATGTAAGTAGTGCTCTTGCTGCTAAAAGAACTATTATGAGGGAACCTGGCACTTCAGTTCAAACATCTAGATTCTCCATCCTTGATCATCAAATATTTGATTTGGATCCCTCTAATGTTGATAGAGGGGGTTTCCCTCAATAAATGCATCTGGCTATATGGAACATTAGAGGATTTAATAAATCCTCTAAACATGGGCTAGTGAAAATTTTTATTCAGGAGTATAATATCTCTTTATTAGCCCTTTTAGAAACTAAAATCAAGAGGGATGAAAAATTACAGTCCATTGGCAAGAAAATTTCAAAAGATTGGAAATGGATATCAAATAAGCATTGGGGGAACAATGCTAGAATATGGATATTGTGGGATAGTGAAGTGTTCGAAATGGATATCAAATAAGCATTGGGGGAACAATGCTAGAATATGGATATTGTGGGATAGTGAAGTGTTCTCTATTCAAGAGGTTAATTCTTCTGATCAACAATGCTAGAATATGGATATTGTGGGATAGTGAAGTGTTCTCTATTCAAGAGGTTAATTCTTCTGATCAATATACTACTTGTGACCTGAAGTCCAAGGATGGTAAACTGACATGTTTGATCACTGTAGTTTATGCCCATAATCATAATGATAAAAGAAAAACTCTTTGGGAGGATCTTCTTGCTTTCAAAAGGAGTGTCAACTGCCCATGGTTGGTGGGGGGTGATTTTAATGCTACTGCAAATGGTGATGAAAGAATTGGAGATATTCAGTCTACTGGAGCTGTAAATGTTGATTTTCAGGATTTTATTTCCTCCAGCCAACTGAGCCACTTGAAAACTATTGGTTGTTATTTCACTTGGAATAATAAACAAGATGCTGTGACTAGGGTTTGGAGTAGATTAGATAGATCCTTGGTTAATGATGATTGGATCAATCAATATACTACAAGTCAAGTGGAATATTTGATGCCTCTTTGCTCTGATCATTCCCCTGGGCTTATTACTATTGGAGATGAAACATTTGATGGTAAAAAGCCTTTCAAATTCTTTAATATGTGGGCTAAACACCCTGACTTTTTAGACGTGGTGAGATCAGCTTGGAATAAGAGTGTCAGAGGATATTACATGTACAGACTTTGCTCTAAACTTAAAAATCTCAAGCATGTTCTCAAGGATCTTAATAAGAAGAACTACATGAACATTAGTCAGCAGGTTTCAAGAGCTCAAGCTGAACTTTTGGAGATTCAATTCAAGCTGAATACTGACCTCTTCAACTCTGATTTAATCTCTAAAGAGAGGGACTGCACCAGAAAACTTGCTATTCTGTTGGATAATGAGAACTCTTTCCTTAGGCAAAAAGATAATATCAAATGGGGTCTCCATTCAGATAAGGGCTCTCATTTCTTTCATTCTGTGATGAAATCTAAGAGGCATCAAAGCAGAATCCTGTCAATATATAATGCTGATGGCTACAGGCTTACAGATCTGTCTGATATTACCTCTGAACTCATTGATTATTATAAGAAAATGCTGGGAATTGCTAAGGCCAACACAACTCCTGACCCTAGTGTGATCTCAAATGGCCCTGTTTTAACCTCAGCTCAGAGGAATGAACTGAGTTCTCCTGTCTCTAGGGAGAAGATTAAGCAAGCTTTATTTTCCATGCCTGATAGTAAGGCCCCTGGGCCTGATGGCTTCAATGCTTATTTCTTTAAAGCTGCTTGGTGTGTCATCAGCGAGGATCTCTTTCTAGCAGTTGAAGAATTTTTTCAATCAGGTAAACTCTTGGGCTCCCTGAATATTACTTATATTACTCTTGTGCCCAAAGTCCTTAATCCCACATCAGCTGCTGACTTCCGGCCGATTTCCTGCTGCAATGTCATCTACAAAATTATCTCTAAAGTTATTGATAGTAGGGTGCAAAAGATTATAGGCTATCTAGTTAATGATGCTCAGTGTGCATTTGTGAAAGGCAGACTCATATCCAGTAACTTCTTACTTGCTCACGAAATTATCAAACACTATGGAAGGAAGAATAACTCCCCAAGAACTATTCTGAATGTTGATTTGAGGAAGGCCTTTGATACTATTAATTGGGAGTTTATAAGAAGTATGTTGATTGGTCTGGGATTTCCTATGATTATGGTTCACTGGATCATGGAATGCATTTCCTCTCCTAAATTTTCTATAGCATTGAATGGGGGGCTGCATGGTTACTTCCATGGTGCAAGAGGATTAAGACAAGGGGATCCTCTTTCCCCTTACCTCTTTGTCATTGGTATGGAGTTTCTATCTAGAAAACTTAGTGCTCTAAAAGATGACTCCTCTTTCAAATTTCACCCGAAGTGCTCTAAACTGAAGATTAATCATTTGATATTTGCTGATGATTTGCTCTTGTTCTGTAAAGCTGATATGAGCTCTATTGCTAAAATTTATGAATGCCTACAAGAGTTTGGACAAGCTTCAGGCTTGGAAGCTAATGCAAGTAAGTGCTCTGTTTTCCTTAGTGGAGTTAGTGATAGTCTCAAAATTCAGATTTGCAATTATCTCAAATTCCCTGAGGGTATTCTGCCTGTGAAGTATCTGGGGCTGCCTCTGAATGCAAAAAGGCTCTCGTACTCTGATTGCTCCTGCCTTATTGACAGAATTAACAAGCAATTCCAAACCTGGCAGCAGAAAAAATGTTTGTCTTATGCAGGTAGGCTTGAGCTGATTAAATCTGTGATATTAGGCATTCAAACATATTGGATCAGTAATTACATTCTGCCGGTTAAAGTATTGGAAAGAATTGACAGAATGAGTTCTGAATTTGTGTGGGGACATAAACTTCATCTGGTAAATTGGAAATCAGTGTGTCAGGGAAAGGAGCAAGGGGGACTGGGGATTTTTTCAGCTAAGCCTGGTCTAAAACTATTTGGGATAGTTTTTTATATCCTAAACATTCTTTCATAATGTGGCTAGTTTGTCATTCAAGACTTCTCACCAAAGATAGATTGGGCCGAATGGGTATCCTGAGCTCAAATCAGACTCACTGTGTCCTGTGTAATAGACAGGAACTGGAGACCAGTAACCACATCTTCTTTGAATGTCAATTTTCAGCTGAAGTCTGGAATTTAGTGATGGAATGGTTGAAATATAGATGGAGGTCATGTGTATGGGGTTTGGTTTTGAATTGGTATTCTTATAGTTTGAAAGGAAAGGGCCCTATGAAGAAATTGAAGAGGATGTGCCTATCCACTGCTGTTTATATGATCTGGAGGGAGAGAAATCGGAGAATCTTTCAAGGCAAAAGGAAGCTCTCTGCTCAGATTCTTAGTGACATCAAGTTTTCTGTTTTTGCAAAAGTTCTTAATGATAATTCAAATGTACATATGAAGTATATTCTTGAGAACCTGTAATTCTTTGGTTTCCAGCTCTGCTGGCACTTAGATGTACTACTCATTCATAAATTGGAAGATGAATAAAATTAAGTTCATTGACCAAAAAAAAGAAGAAGCTTAAATACATTTACATAAGAGAGAGGGATGCCATTTTAAAATTATCTTTCTAGAAATTATTAAACATCCTCTAGTTTATTATTAGCTCTTAGAGTCCCCTAATTTATATTTGATACTTACAATTTATATCTCTAAAATTTTATTTCAAGGGTATTAAGTGCTAGAATATTGAGGAGGATTTAGTGCAACTCAAGATATAGAAGAGTGAATTATGTATAATTTTTCCTATTTATTTTAATAATGCAATTTACAGATGGTTAATGGAGAAATGGATAACCCTTCATGAATGAGTTCCTTATTGAAGGGGGTTAAGAAGACAGTGGAATAATAAAAAGTTGACAACTTTTCATATTACTATAATATTATATTATATATTTATTTATTTGAATTGGTAAATAAATAACTTTTTACTCATATTATATTTGATAATTGCACATATTTAATAATTCATATAAATATTATATATTAATGTGATATAATATATATTATAATTATCATACATTAACTATTATACTCAAATAGTAGATTAATAGCAGAAAATTAATAATTAACAGCAGAAAATTGATGATACTCTTAAAATTATAGTAGTAATCCATTCTATAAGCATCATCAGGACCAACTAACTATATCATTTTCTAAATTTATCTTCCTGCACTTTTTTATTTGTCCTTTGTAACCCAATAATATCAATGTATTACCTTAGTGACCATAGAACGAAAATTAACCCTTTACACATATAGAGTAATGTATTACCTTAGTGACCATAGAACGAAAATTAACCCTTTACACATATAGAGTGAAAGCAATTACACTTATAATGCATTGTCATGGACAAAGCTTTCTTTATCCCGAGAATAAGCATAATGCATTAAGAGACTCAACCAAACTACACAAACAATTTCGCATATTTACAAACATGCCTAGGAGTTGGAAACCAATTTACATGCTCAGGTAAAAACATATATGAATATGGAAGGGGGGAAAAACCAATTAGTTTATGACTAAAATATCTACAGATCTAATACTATTATAAAATTGTGTTGTCACGTTAAAACATTTCTTCCAATAATACCCTCTTAAATACTTACATACATACATCTCTAGCACATCCATACATGCATATATTAAGATATATACATACTTAATTTTTCATAACCTCCATATTTATTAGCATCAAATTTTTATTTAACCACCCACTAATAACATTCGCCCACCAAGTCTTGACATTACACACTAATAATAAAAAACGTTATAACTATTCATCTTCCATAAATCACTATAAATTAATATTATAACATTCCCCTACTAAGTCTTGACATTACACACTAATAATAAAAAACATTATAACTATTCATCTTCCATAAATCACTATAAATTACTATAGAATCTTATCAAATTTCTCTAACCAAATTTCTAACTTTTAATTAAAATTTATTCATATTGAAAAGTAAGGAGACACAACTATAGCACTTACAAACTGCAAGAAGTGTGAGTGTGTCAATGGTAACATCACTAGTGGAGTACGATCGAATTGAATAAGGATATGGTAATGGAAGCATCGGTGTAACAATTTAGAGAGTAGAGAAAAAATCGGTGAAGGCGACAAAAAAGATGGTCCTGTATTTTATCAAAATCTACATGTATTTCAGTCATAAACTAATTGGTTTTTCCCCCTTCCATCTTTGTATGTCTTTACCTTAGCATGTAAATTGGTTTCCAACTCCTAGGCATGTTTATAAATATGCTAAATTGTTTGTATAGTTTGGTTGAGTCTCTTAATGCATTATGCTTATTCTCGGGATAAAGAAAGCTTTGTCCATGACAATGTATTATAAGTGTAATTGCTTTCACTCTATATGTGTAAATGGTTAATTTTTGTTCTATAGTCACTAAGGTAATACATTGATATTATTAGGTTATAAAGGACAAATAAAAAGTGCAGGAAGATAAATTTAGAAAATGATATAGTTAGTTGGTCCTGAGGATGTTTATAGAATGTATTACTATTATAATTTTAAGAGTATTATCAATTTTCTGCTATTAATTATTAATTCTCTGCTATTAATATACTATTTGAGCATAATAGTTAATGTATGATAATTATAATATATATTGGTATCACATTAATATATAATATTTATATGAATTATTAAATATGTGTAATTATCAAATATAATATGAGTAAAAAGTTATTTATTTACCAATTCAAATAAATATATATATATAATATAACATTACAGTAATATGAAAAGTTGTCAACTTTTCATTATTCCACTGTCTTCTTAACCCCCCTTCAATAATGAACTCATTCATGAAGGGTTATCCATTTCTCCATTAACCATCTGTAAATTGCATTATTAAAACAAATAGGGAAAATTATACATAATTCACTCTTCTATATCTTGAGTTGCACTAAATCCTCCTCAATATACTAGCACTTAATACCCTTGAAATATAATTTTAGAGATATAAATTGCAAGTATCAAATATAAATTAGGGGACTCTAAGAGCTAATAATAAACTAGAGGATGTTTAATAATTTCTAGAAAGATAATTTTAAAATGGCATCCCTCTCTCTTATGTAAATGTATTTGAGCTTCTTGCTTTACAAGTAGTTTATATTTTATAATAGAAATATGTGTAAGCTAATTTTTTATGCAGAGAATTATTGTTTTCGATAAAAAAAACTTATTCATAACCTTCTACAAATATACCCATTTAATCTTTATGCAATAAGACTCATTTCATTGAATAAATATTAATTATTTATTAATTACTATAATATCTTAATAACTATTCACTTTCTAACCTAATAGAACCAAAAAATTTCTAAAAAATTGATCAACCTGTGTGCCTACATGCAACGCACGTACACGATACTAGTTTTGATAAAATACAGGACCACCTTCTTTGTTGTATTCACCGGGTTTTTTTTCTACTCTCTAAATTGTTACACCGATGCTTCCATTACCATCTCCTCATTCAATTCGATCGTACTCCACCAGTGATGATACCATTGACACGCTCACACTTCTTGTGGTTTGTAAGTGATGTAGTTGTGTCTCCTTACTTTTCAATATGAATAAAATTTTTGGTTAAGAGTTAGAATTTTGGTTAGAGAAATTTGATAAGATTCTATAATAATTTATAGTCATTTATAGAAGAGGAATAGTTGTAATGTTTTTCATTATTAGTGTGTAATGTCAAAATTTAGTGGGGGAATGTTATAATAGTAATTTATAGTGATTTATGGAAGATGAATAGTTGTAACGTTTTTCATTATTAGTGTGTAATGTCAAGACTTGGTGGGGGAATGTTTTAGTGGGTGGTTAAATAAAAATTTGATGCTAATAAATAGGGAGGTTATGAAAAATTAAGTATGTATATATCTTAATGTATGCATGTATGGATGTGCTAGAGATGTATGCATGTATGTATTTCGGAGGGTATTATTGGAAGAAACGTTTTAACATTGCAACACACTTTTATAATAGTATTAGATTATTATTATTATTTTGATTGGGTGAGAGATTAATGAGAGTTGACCAATCTTCTTACCCCCCAGCCCCAACCCCCCAAATAAAAAAGAGGTAACCCGTCCAACCAGTGGCATAGCCAGGAATTTTTTTTGCCCTGGGCGAAAAAATAATCTTGGCTGGCGATAAATCCCAAGGCGCAAACATCGGCGAAGGAGATGACTCGTCCTCCTGCTCCTCCGTCGTCGGAGTCGGCATAAAACCTAGCTTTAAGCGGAGTGCGGTAAAAGACTGTTGTAGGAACTCAAAGGGATTGTGTCGAGTAAGAGGAAGTAGAGGAGGCCGATGTTGACAGTTGTGTCGAGCACCGTCAGGCTATACTTTTTATTTGTGTTACTATTGTTTAATCTTTTACAAATAAAACGACACTTTTATATGTGTCATAAATTAAATGCGGACACATACAGCTTTTGTTGTAGTGCTCAATCTTGTCCTGGGCAGCTGCCCAGGGCAACTCTCATGTGGCTACGCCACTGCGTCCAACTTAACAAATTATACAAGTAACAAAATGAATGAATCTTTTTAATTTGCTAAACGTACATAATATTAAAAAAAAGGTTTATAGGCAATTTTAAAATAATGAATTAACTAGTTTAACCATTCTTCTTCTTTAAGTCTTTTCTAAAATTTTTTTGCCAAAAGGGGGCCGAAGAAATATTATGACCTAGTATATATATTTTATTTTCAAAAATCAATCAGATAAAAAATGTACGTCTAGTGACTTCATCATATCATAAACATGCATATCCAAAGAATAAAGTACTATTGCAAACATAGCAAGAGGTCAACATCAAAAGTGCGACGAGTAACATGCAAGTATATTCTGAGGATGTGATTAGCATGAAAAATATTTCATAGTATGAATACGATACGACCGATAGATATTAATCTACAACACCATGCAATTCTCATGGCCATTTCTAGTCTCAGATTTTGACCATTAAATTAACTCATAGATTTCTCTTACCGTTTGCTTAAAGTTTCCTCTTCTATATAATCCCATACCATTACAATGCAAACCATAGTCTCACAATATTTTACAAAATTATACTCCAAAACTATTTTGCGCCAACAAATCAAAGAAATTTAAGAGAGAAAAGAGAGATCAATATATACAATGGGGAACTGCCTTAAGCCCCCGAGACATTGGGCTGACGATGAGCCATGGGACTCGGAGGAGGAGCACTTTGCAAAATCGAGAAGATCGAGGAGAAAGATGATAAAATCCGAAGAAAATAAGGGTTTAAACGAAGAAAATCCATGTGAAGCTCCATCAACAAGAATAAAGATTGTAATCACTAAGAAGGAGCTGAGATCATTAATACAACGATTTGATATGCGAAGCTTGCCAATATTGGTGGAGGT